CTCAGCTTAATCCGATCGACGGTCTGCACGGCACGCTGCGCGACATTCAAGGTACTCTTGCTGTTTTGACTAAGTCCTTCTTGATCCCTCTCTCTACAAACTCGGACCCGAGGATAGGGGCTGGTCTTGTACCAGGCACCCAGGGACCCTTGGAGGTGACCCCGAGGAGAGGTTTTAAGTTTGATTAAGTCCTAATAGCTTGAGTTTATTAGGCCCTTACACCAACACTCGGGTCTACCTGGGACACACCTGAGGGAGCGGCACCCTGAGGGGGGAGGGGGTCTGGTACCTCAGCACCTGGAGCGAGGAAGAGAGGCGGGGGGGGGGAGCGGGGCAGTGCGGTAGGGGAAGAGGCGGTAGTAGGGGACGGACTCGTCAAAAGTGACGTCCTGAGAGGCCAGGACACGACGCGAGGTGGGGTGGTAGAACTGCCAACCAGGGGCGTCCGGGACAAAGCCAAGGAAGACGCAGGGGACAGCGCGACGGGAGAGCTTGTCCGCGGACGTGTCGCGGACAAAAGCTCGGGATCCCCAGACCCGAAAACGCGACGCATCGCCAGCCTCTCCCGTCCAACGCAGTGTCGGAGAAGTCTCGGGCAAGGAGACACGGGGCCAGAGGTTGAGCTGATGCGCAGCGTATCGGACCGCAAACGGCCACAGAAAATGGGGGGCAGCCGCATGACTCAAGGAGGTACGAGCGACCTCCATGACTAGACCAATGCGGCGCTCAGCAACCCCATTCTGCTGTGGAGAGGCCGGAAGCGTGAACGACTGCTCAATGCCCTCCTGCTGACAGAAGGCCTCCAGGAGGCCAGAGGAGAACTCCCCACCTCTGTCAGAGTGCAGACGCAGGACAGGAAGCCTGGTGAGCTGGAGACGAGATCTGCGGATCCAAGGGATCAAGACATCAGGTACGTCACCCTTGGCTCGCAAGGGGAAGACCGTGGTGTAGCGCGAGAAGTCGTCAACAACGAGCAGGAAGTACCGCTCCTGACCCTGTCCACGGACGCGGGCTGGGCCCCACACGTCCAAGTGGAGCGTCTGCAAGGGAGCAGTCGTCGGGGGAAAGGAGGAGGAGTGAGGAGCGGCGCGCTGCCGCCCCTCGACACAGGGAATACAGGGAGGAGCAGGCGAGTCGGGAAGGGGAGGGAGCACCCTGGGAAGACCAGCAACAAGGTCCCGTTTGTGCATGGTCCGAAGGCGCTGCACAGACGGGTGACCAAGGCGGTGGTGCCAAAGGACAGTCTCATGCGCCAGAGAGCGACACGAGCAGGGGGCGGACAGCTGACCTGACGAAGACGCAGACGCAGCTACCTGAGGGGACTCAGTGGTCAGTGTGTACAGGTCCGACCCCGGCTCTCGAGTGAAAGTAGCCAGGTGGCGACCCGTCCGAGCACATGTGCAGTGTGTCACGCGCTCGTAGGCAGGGGTGAACTGGTGAACACCCGAGTCCTGGAGCGCACAACCCGCCACCAAGTTCGTAGAGAACGAGGGGAGGTAGAGACCTGAAAGCGTGCCGGACGGGACCGCAGGACAAGGAAGAACAGTGGAGGAGGTCGCAATGACCGGACCCCCAGAGGGGTCAGCAAGGGAGACAGCAACTGGCCGAGCGAGTGGCTCAAGGATAGTGCGGTCACGAAAGAAAGAGCGAGAGGCACCTGAGTCCAGTGTGAAGGTGTGCAGTGCTGCAGTCAACTCAGTACCAGGGGGCACGGACGCACTAGCACCTAGGGCAGCAGCCTCACCAGGACCTGTGGGAGCAGACGCACTAGCACCTAGAGCGGCAGCCGGACTGGCTTGAATGCCCGGGTCGGGCGGAACACGCAAGTACTGAGCACCCTCTCCACTAATAGACATGGCATACATGGCAGTGAGAATAGCATCAAAGTCTAAAGCCCAAATATCAACACCCCTCTTTTCCAGATCAGCCCAGCGCGGCAGCTCAGTGGCAGTAGGAAACTGGGTGCGCCACGCGTCGTTAAGGCGCGCGAAGCAGCGGTGCGTGGGGTGCGGCCTCCCACACTGCTGGCCGCTGCGGTCACCTGTGCGAATGACGTACGTGCAGGTAAAGCCACGCTGCGCATACCACTCACGGGCGGCCTGAAGCGTCGGGGCGGGCTGCTGACTCGGGCCTCCGCCAGTGCCTCCACGACCACCACCGCCACCACCACCGCCTCGGCCACCTCCACCCCTGCCGCCGCCACGACCACCTCCACCTCCGCTGCCGCCTCCACCCCTGCCACCGCTCCCGCCGCTGCTGTCTCCTCCCCCACTGCCGCCACTAGCCTCCCCAGTCGCGCCTCCACTCCCACCGCCTCCACCCCCACCTCCTCCGCCACCACCCCCACCCCTGCCTCCCTTGCTCCTGCGGCGCCCGCTCGAAGCAGACGCGGTCCCGACCTTCTCAGCACCAAGGAGGTCGACAGCAGCAGCAGAGGCGACAGAGGGGAGGAGGGGGGAAGGGGAACACCCCTCGAAGAACGGGGTGCGGGGGTCGCCACGAGAGGTGCCTACAGCGACGATGCTCGCCTCAGCTGCAAGCAGTTCCTTCTCGAGGAGGGCAACAGTGAGCTCAGTGGGGGAGCGAGAGAGGAAGTGGTCCCTGACTGCGCGCAGAGAGTCAGGGAGGCGGGTGACGATGTGGTAGAGAGTGATCCAGAGCGGGGGGGGGTTGCTAGTGAGAAACTCGGCAGGCATAGCAGCGCGAAAGCGGGCCTCACTAGTCTTAAGGTGGGTGATGAGGTCTGCGACAGTGTGAAAGGAGGCTAGGTCGGGGAACAGGTAGGGGAGAGTGAGGCGGCCTAGCGTAGCAGAAGCGGGTGAGGAGTAACGGGCAACTACAGCGGTGTAGAGGTCCTTAGCAGTCTTGCACTGGCCGAAGTGCTCGCGCTCGTCTAGCGGCAGGGAGTTGCGAATAGCAAAGCGAGCGTGCGCATCACGAGTCTGCCACTGAGAGCGTAGAGTGCTGTCAGCAGACGTGTCAGGGGCAGTAGCATGGCCTAGGGCGTGGTCGTACAGCGAGATGTCTTCTTTGGCAGTGAGCTGTAGGAACAGGTGCAGGTCATCTAGACAGATTTCGAACTTCACCGGACGGCCCTCGGCATCGAAAGCTAGAACGGGAGGACTAGCCATAGTGACAGTAGTAGGAGTAGGAACTAGGCCGCTGGAAAGGTGTGCGTAGGGTCAACGGGGCCGGCGGGGCCGCTAGGTAAGGCGCGGGCGGGGTCGACTGTCCGTAGTGGCACACGAGCGGCAGTAGTAGGGAGCGTGGCAGCAGGAGCTGCAACGGCGCACTGGTGGCAGCTGCAGCGGCAGCAGTGTGCGCGGTAGGTAGAAAAAAAAATAACAGTGGGAGCGAGCGCCTCGCGGGCGGCGGCTGCAGAAGCGCACGGGCGGCAGCGGCTGCGAGCGGTGCACGAGCGGCAGCGACGCACGGGCAGCAGCGGCGCATGGGCAGCGGCAGCGTAGGGGCAGCGGCGGCACACGGGCAGCGGCGGCGCACAGGCGGCAGCAGTGCACGTGCGGCGACGGCAGGAGGCGGCGGTGCGCAAGCAGCAGCGGAAGCAGCGCACGGGCGGCAGCTGCGTATGCGCACGTGCGGCAGTGGCAGCGGCGCACGGGCGGCTGCGGGCAGCGGGGCGTGCGCGAGCAGGCGACGGGCGGCTGCGGGGCGTGCGCGAGCAGGCGACGGGCGGCTGCGGACGGGCGGCCTCTGCGACGGCGGGCTGCGGGCCTGCAGGGCGTGCGCGAGCAGGCGACGGGCGGCTGCAGCAGCGGGTGCGTCAGCGTGGCGCACAGGGCAGCGGCGGGCAGTGCGCGAGGCCACGAGGCGCACGGGCAGCAGCGCAAAGGCGCGCGGGCAGCGGGGAGGCAGCGCGTGCGCGGCTAGCTGGCGGGGCGCACGCGTGAAAACGGCCGCGCGCGAGCGGCTAGTACGGCGCGCGCGGTAAAAAAAAAAGGAAAGCCACGCGCGGGCGGCTAGCGAGCTGCGTGCGCGTGGTAGGTAGGTAAGGAGCGCTCTAGGACGCGCAGGCGCACGAGGCGCACAGTAGGTAGGTAGGTAGGTAGGTGGGCCCTAAGAACAGTCCTAGCGACGGACCTGCTCTGAAACCATGTCAGTGATAACGGACTGGAATGGTGAACTAGAAAGGATTGTGAGTACAAATATGAAACCCTAATGTTGTGACCCCCCTATAGGCTAACCCACTACAGCCTACACAAACACAACACATATAATGTTTGACACAGCGTCACACCTCTCGACCCAGATCTGATGAAGGGAAATGGCAATGAGCGTGGCTTCCGGGAAGGCGGATTTGGTGCCTGCTTTGCGGAACAACAGGTCCCCCCAGTGGGGACGTCATGCGCGAGGGGTTGAGGATGCGTATGGCGCGCTTTTAAGCCGTTACCACAGTTTGAATACGTGGACACTCGAAAAGATAATGTTCCACCATCTCCTCTGCTACACAGTACGAGCAGACAGGCTTGCTGCTGAGAAAGGCCAGCCGTTCTCCCACTTGTAAGTTAGATTGTATATCCTCGTCAGTAAGTCTTTCGGGTGGTTAGGAACGACAAGGGACTCCGCGACACTTGTCACCTTCTCCCAAAAAATCCTTCCTCTCCATCTGTCCGCCCATTTCAGTCTCCACTGTGATTCCCTATGCCCATCTTTCACAAGTTTCTTCATCTGTCGCTGAGACACCACTTGCCCGTTCTCGAAGATCGGCAGCTGCAGCAGCCTTCCTTCTGGCGGAACCGAGTCAGCCGAGCTTCCCCAGGGTCAAGCGGGAGTGCTTTCCAGTTACTGGGAGCAGCTGCAAAAGCTTTCAGCGCCAATTTTGCCGGCCCCTTACCCCCTAACTCCAACATCAGAGTCTCCATGGTTTTTAGCACCAGCGGTAACCCTTGCTCCCTGACGACCAAGTCGCCCAACGTCACCTCCCATAATTTCTCCGCAGCTGTTGCCCGCTGACCGATGCAGTCACACCGACCAATATCCTTTTATTGAAAACCAGCCGTTCCCGCGCCACAGCTTCCCAGGTGGTCAGCTCCGGCAAGGAGCAGAACGGAGATTTCATGAAACTCTCGCATGTCTGCTTCCAGCGTTGGCTCCGAATGGGGCGGGAACCCCATCTCGCAAAGAATGTTGAAGAGAAAACTTCGCGACACCGAATCAAAAGCCTTCTGGAAATCCACCTGAAGCAAGTACCAGTCCTTGTTCCCGTTCTTTGCCGCGTCAATAATGTCCGCTACCAGCGCCACGGCATCAGCAAGCCTTCGTCCGGGAATGAAGCCGTACTGCTCCGGGGAAATCACCAGGTGAAGAACTTTTTTAATCCTGTCCGCCAGCACCTTCGCCAGGATCTTATAGGAGAAATTCAACAGCGTGATGGGCCTATAGTTGTTGAGCTGACTTCTGTCTCCCTTCTTATGCAGGAGGATAGTGACCGCCTCCTTCAGTTCATCTGGGAGCTCAGAAGTTGCGGTGAAATCTGCTACCAGCGCCATGAAGCTGCTACCGAGCACATCCCAGTGTTCTTCAAAAAGTTCTTTCAGTAAGCCATCCGCACCTGGTGATTTGTTCCTCTCTAGTGACTTGAAAGCCGCTTTCACTTCATCTTCTGACCGGTCTGCTGCCAACCCCCCCGCTTCCGCTTCACAGAGCCTCTGCTTCGGCGACCAGTTAGAGAAATCCACCCTCCGATCTTTCCCGAAGAGCTTGTGGAAGAAGCCCGACGCTGCTTCCAGGACCTGCTTCGAGTCTGATACCATCCCGCCCTCAGCCTGGAGTTCCGTGATCTGCGTACGACCCTTCCGCGCCTTAACCGTCGATGACAACGTTTTCGGCGAAACTTCTTCGACAATCTCCATCTTTAAACCAGCCATGAGATGAAGCCTGTCCCTCCGTGATGCATGATAATCTTTGACTTGCGCCTCTTTAACTCCCAGCAGCTCCCTCCGTCTGGTGCATAGTGGGTGAGCCATGACCTCCTGCCTCAACGCCAGCACAGACACAGTGAGGTGAAGGCGAGTAGCCCAAACCCTCTTCCGTTCCTCTGTCATGTACAGGTGACAATATCAGCAGAATAACCTATAATCCATTGTGTAAGTTACGGACGAAACCAATGCGTGTATCTGTTGATGTAGAACTTCAAGTGCAAGACCCTTGAAGTACTACCTCAAGATGCACGTGGAGAGGGATCCAGATCACAGGTGGTTGAAGCTGCACCAGGAGAAGTTCATCAAGGAGCTGGGGGAGAAGTATGGGATTGAGAAGGAGCGGAAGGTTGCAACTACCCGGCCAGCAGAATTCAATCTTGTGAAGGCTGCTGAGGATGAAGGGGTTGAAGCTGAGGAGCAGCAGCAATTTCAGTCCTTGGTGAGCAGCCTCCTGTTTGCAGCAGTTCGGACGAGGCCCGACATTTCCTTCTCGGTTGGGCAACTGGCCAGGGTGGTGCAGACTCCATCTAAGGAGCAGGTGGATGCAGCTGAACGTGTGGTGAAGTATTTGAACTCACCCTAGCGTTGGAGTTCAACACTCCGCATCTGCACAGGTGAAGCAGAAAGGGGTTGAGGTGCTGAAGGAGAAGGTTGAGAGGCTTCGAGAAAGCAAGTTATTTCTCACTTCCATTACCGATGCTACTTGGGCTTCTAAGGAGGAGGATTCCTTATCTGTGGGAGGATACATCTGCGTAGTTGGGGGAGGACCTGTTAGTTAGACAGAGATGGTACTCTCCTCCGTTGAATCAGAGTACATGGCGATGTTCCATGGGGTGAAGGAGGTGATTTGGCTGAGAAGGCTGTTAGAGGAGATTGGCCAGGAGCAGAAGGTTGCTACGCTGCTGTTTTGTGACAGCAAGGGGGCTCTTGGGATGGCCAGGAATTAATATTATGCTTCACGAGCTGAACAAGCACATGCGTATCAATTGTCACTGGCTGCGTAAGGAGGTGAAGAGGGGGACGGTGAATCCAATCTACATCAAGACTCACCAGCAGCCAGCAAACATCCTTACCAAGAGGCTTAAGGATGATCCTCTTTGGCGTTGTGTGCGCATGAGTGGAATGAGCATGAACTAGCATGGAATGATGGGGGTGCAGCTGGCAAGCTGAGAGGGAGTGTGTTGGGTGCAAATTCATATTGCACGACATCCTGCCGTCTGTTTGTACGAATATGCGTGTGCGAATGCTTTTGTTTGGTTGACTAGAGTGTAGCAGGGCAGGCACTATAGGGGTACAATTTAGGTGAAGGTTGGATGCTGTTTGCCTATCTTTGTATGCTACAGGGCGGAAACAAGCAGAACCAGAATCTGGCTGCTTGGGCAAGGACAAAACAGGTTCTGTGTGTAGAACCTAAACCTGGTTGTTCTTCTCCCAGGTTGGAAAAACAGAACCAGAGGTTATTTACCAACCTACCACCTGCTATTTTTTCCAGCCAGGTTGGTTCTGTTGCTTGGAATCATTTTGATCATCCCTGGTTCTTCCCAGGTTGATTTCCAATCTCCTTGCTAACTAGAACTATTTATTCATAGTCAATTTGATTCAAGCAAATTCCATCCTTGCTGAAATTTCGCTTCTACGCGGATCGGCGACGGAATGCTACCCGAGTCAACGCTAGTATGCTAGCACTACAACGCTAGGCAAACACTGTATGAGCCATAACTTTGTAATGGCGGAACTTTTCGCGAGGCAACTTTGCTCATTTTAAAGCTCTTGGAGCAAGCTGCGATGTAGCAAATTCTCAGCTTAATCCGATTGACGGTCTGCACGGCACGCAATGCGACGTTCAAAATACTCTTGTTATTTTGGCTAGGTCATTCTTGACTCCTCTCTCTACAAACTCGGACCCAAGGATAGAGGCCGGTCTTGTACCAGGCACCCAGGGACCCTTGGAGGTGACCCCGAGGAGAGATTTTAAGTTTGATTAAGTCTTATTAGCGTGAGTTTATTAGGCCCCTACACCATCACTTACTATTTCGTATGAATCTCGACAACGCGATGTGAGGAAAAGCCCAACAACACGCATCACCTCGTGCCTTCTAGCGACAGCGGGTCTTCAGCTTATGTAACTTGTATACAACCCTACCATTTGAGATGAGCACTAGCAGTGCTCTAAGAAGCAAAAAGCCTCAGTGATAGAGCCCCCAGGAACAAGGGAAAATATGTCAATGGTAACTTATATGGAACACTATAACGCGTACGTAACAATTACATATAGTTTTCACAATTCGGGTAGATAGAGAGTCATGTGTATCAGTGCAGCTGCATGGAGAGAGTGGGGAGGGTTAGCATGAGAGGACAGAAAAGGGATATAAGGATAGGACATTGGTTATAGCATGAAACGACATAAAAGGGGATACAAATGAGGATGTGAGGGGATGAGGACGTTGGATAAGTGTGGGGACTATATGAGATGTCATAATAAGAATGTGACGGGTTGAGAGGATTTGAATGGCAGAACCGTCTGATGAGAGATGATGTGGGGGAAGAATATGGCATGAGAGTGGACGAGAGTGGTGACCCAATGCACGTCGGGCAGAGCGTTCTAGTGGGGCAGAGTTTTTGGCAGAGTTTATGTCGCCGACCTCCTGTATTATTTTGAAAAACCAACAATTAAAAGTTTTATTTTGCAATATGGGGAGATTCAAGAATGTGCAGTCAAAAATAAGCCATTGGGGGAACCAACAGAAGTTGGTGTAGTTACTTGGTATGTATGTCGAAGTTGGTTCTGTTACTTGGTGTTGATGACAGATTTTTTCTCATTCGTTTTCGTCATTGTTCTACTCTGTTCCTGCTACGCAGTATATTAAATGGATTGAGATTATGTCTTAAACATCATTCCTTTGTTCTATTCTCGGACATATGGTTATACAAGATATCGAACTTTGCAGTGGGCAAAAAGTGCTATTGTCATTGTTATTGGGGTGAGTTATGTGCGTGTACTCCGCCCCGCCCGCCGGCCGCGCCCGCCGGGCCTGCCCGCCCGCTCACGGCCACGCTCACCAGCCCGCTGACCGCGCCCCCGCGGCCGCGCCCGCCAGCCCGCTGACCGCGCCCCCGCCACCCGCCCGCCGGCCGCGCCCGCACTGCCCGCCCGCCCGTCCGTCGCCCGGAGGCTGTGTAGTATTGTGATTTTTATACGTTGTGAGTTTGGATTTCCTGCTTCTTTTTTTATCGTAACTGCTTTTTAATTGTGTTGGGGATATGGAGGATGAAATTTGACTTCTTAAATTTTTGCAAATTATGATGTATTGGAAGCTCTTGCCTAAGATCCAAGCTACGAGAGGGTAAGAAAAAAAAAAGGTAAGTCAAATGAATATACGCAATATAACAACCAATATAAGGGTCAAAGATAAAGGATGTGAGTGTCAAAGAAAAGGGAAAAACGATTGAAAGGTCAAATGAACAACCGACGATCATAGGACCCCATCCTCAACCTACACAGCTCCGTTTCTTTGGCAGAGCTGACTTTATCATACTATTTTAGTCTGGTTTAGCCTAATTGTCTGAAATTTCAGATTAGAATTCCTTGAAAGCCTGATTTTTCAAAATTGTCAGATTTTTGAATATGAGTACTTCAGACTTACCTTTTTTTGTATACTGGAAAAAAAAGAGTGCTAATTTCGCAAATAGTAAGTTTTCATCCTGTATCGCAAGCACATCCATCACCTGGTATCTTCACACTTTATTATGCACAAAGTGTGTAGTGTTAGTGTTGAAATATTGTACATTTCACAATGAATAGAAGTTTTTTTCCTCATGATTTGTGTCTGTACTTTAAGTTTTGTAGGTTTGTAAATCGTGGAAATTTAGATTGGTTATTGTGAGGAAAATATGTTCAAAGAAGAAAGGTTTGCCGTTCTGGTGGTGTTGATACTCGTGTCGCTCTTCGCCTTGTGCTTCTCCGGCTGGTGCTACTCCTGCAACTCATGCTGCTGCCACCTCCTTCTCTGGTTGATGCTACTCCTTCTACTCATGCTGCTGCCGCTGCTTCTCGGGATGAAGCTATTCCTGCGACTCTTACTGCTATTGTTGCTGCTGCTGCTGGTGTTGCGGATGTTGCTGCTTTTTGGGATTCTATGGAGGTCGATCAGGTAGAGTGATTTTTTCTTCTTCTTCATATTTTTAGTAGTTATTGTTTCTTTCATATCTAATTCATCCAATCCTGTCAGTTCCACCCTTTTGTTCTTGCTTTTTTCTTTTAATCTTTCATTGCTGTTATCGATGCTCTGCATTTTTTTCCATGCTCTCATGCGTGTCACACCCCAACCTTGCCTTCCGCCACACCACAATCCTCATCTTTCTCCTTCCCACAACCCCGTCCACTTGCCCTCTCACTTAGCATCGGCCCACCGCTTTCCTCAACTTTATCGCCTTCCTGGACTCTACCCTGCCCCCTTGCCTATCCTTCTGCCCGTCCCGCTCCCGTCGAACATTTTTTTTCCTCCTTTTCTCCTTCCCTCTCTGCTGCCCTTCGCAACACCCCTTCCCCGTGCCCCTCTTTCCTCTCAATGCATATTTCCCTTGTTGATGTGGTGCCCTAGGTGCAAGAAAATTGACTAGCATGAGAAAGGATTAAGTGCGAGAGACAAATATGCAACAGGCTAAACAGGGTGAGACAAGAGCGGAAGAGGCTGTAGCGGGAGGGATTGCAGAGGAAGAGGTTGGAAGCAGTTGGTCAGAAATGGCTGTAGCGACCGTTGGTGCTGCTGCCGCGTTCAAGAAAGGTTCAGCACCATCGATGGCAGGCGGCACGAGCAGGGCAGTGGATGCCGACATACTCAGAACAACCTGTGCTGATCTCCTCACCAAACGCTCTCTACCCCTGCACGAGCTACTCAGTAAGCAGGAGGGAGCTGCAGAGGAAAAGGGGGAGAACGCGGAGAAAGGTCCAGGGGAGAGAAAAGGGGGTAAGAGTATTGGCACTGCAAGGATCACACATGATGACGAACAATAGGGGCAGGAGGGAGCCGACAAGAAGCTCGCTCCAAGAGCTTTAAAATAAGCCAAGTTGCATCGCGAAAAGTTCTGCCATTACGAAGTAATGGCTCGGACAGCGTTTGCCTACATTATTATGCTTGCTTACTAGCCTTGACTCGGTAGCA